CACCCACGTGGCAGCTGACAACTGTCTATAACTCCAGTTCCAGAGGATCGAACACTCTCTTCTGACCTCTGTGGGCACTGCTCGACACAGGTGCACTTTCATGCAGACAATACACTCACATAAATAATAATTCTTTAAAAATCTTTTAAGAGAGCGTGTAAAAGATCCTGTAGACATGAGGGCAGATACGGGAAATGCATTCAGGCCAGGGACCCATCTTGAGTCCCTAGCCATCCCCAGAATGCAAGCAAGGCCAGCAGCTCCCTAGAAACCCAGATGTGGCTTAGAGGTGGAGCACGGTGAGAGGGCCTGCCTAGCATGAATGAGAACCTGGGTTTGCCCAGCCACACAGAAAAGGCTGGGGGATGTGGGGCTGCAGCTCAGTTGGTACAGTGCTCGCTTAGCATTCATGAAGCCCTGGGTTCAATCTCAACCCCTGCATAAATCCTGCTGTGGTGGTATACACCTGTAATCCCAGCAGCAGCAAGAGGATTAGGAATTCAGAGTCTTCTTTGGTTACATAGTGAGTTCAAGCAAAGCCAGCCCACCCGACCCTACATCAGGAAAGAGGAGGGGAAGGGAGACGGGTAAAAGGAAGAAAGGTGGAGCTGGGCGTGGTGGGCATGCCTTCAGCCCCAGCACTGGGGAGGCAGAGGCAGGCGGATCTCTGGGAGTTCGAGGCCAGCGTGTTCTACATAGTGAGTTCCAGGACAACTGAGGCTACAGGGAGACCCTGTCTCAAAAAGACCAAAAAATGAAAAAAGGAAAGCTGGACCATGGTGCCTGACATCTGTAACCTCAAAACTCAAGGATGAGGCAGGAGGATGGCCACAGATTTGAGGACAGACTGAGATCTGTTTCAGAAAGAAGGAAGAAGAGAGGGAGGGCAAGGTTGCTTCCCAACACTAAGCTCACATGCAAAGTGCTGGTGAAATAAGTGCTTGTTCATATCACTGTTTGTGGGAATTTATTCCTGCAGACCAAGGAAACTCTACGCTAGCCTGTAACTAAGCAAAACACTGCACCGCAGTGAAGTCAGCCAAATAAAACCAAACCCAAAGGCACAGGTGTGTGCGTGTGTGTGTGTGTGTGAGAGAGAGAGAGAGAGAGAGAATAAAGCATAGATTGCAATTCATTAGTAAGTTGTAGGACAGTTTCAGGTGGACTAAAGCACGTGATCTAAGTGATCTAGAGAAGAGCAGTGACGAGAACAAAGATCCGTCAAACCGCTTAAAACCAACGATAAAGAGGACATCTTTAAAGCAGCCACAAGGGGGAACCACATTCTGCCCCAAAACGCAGGGTGACGTAGACAGCAAGGCCGAGACAGAAGCAGAAACCCCGGAGCAGCGTTCTACGTCAGGCCGTTTCTTTTATTTAAAAAAAAAAAAAAAAAAAAAAAGGTGGAGGGCAGCTGGCTGTGGTAGTGCACGCCTTGAATCCCAGGACTTGGGAGGCAGAAGCAGGTGGATCTCTATGAGGCAGCCTGGTCTACATAGCAACTTTCAGGCCAGCTGGGGCTACAGGGAGACTCCTCTCAAAAAATAAAATAAAATAAAACCATCACCAGACGCTCATTTCAGTAGCACAGATACTACAATTGGGGAGATGCGGACACCATCCCCATGGCCCCTGCTCGAGGATGACACGACGAAAAATCAAGAAGTGTTCCAGACCCATCAGGGGTACACAGTGAGACCCTGTCTCAAAGGAAAAAAGAATCCATCACCAGAAAACCCACCAAAGAAGAGTTTCAGGCAGAAGAGAAAGGTAGCAGGTGAGCACAGGTCTGCACAAAGGAATAAAGAGCAGTTAGAGAGTTGAAGAGGGCTCGGTGGTGGGGAGTGCTTGCTGGCTGGCTTCCATTCCCAGCACCCACATGGCAGCTAACAACCACCTGTAACTCCAGTTCTCGGGGATCCGAAGCCCTCTTCTGACCGCCATGGGCATTGCACAACATGGGTGCACTTACATACATGCACTCAATACACTCATAGGCATAAAATAAGAATAATAAGCCAGGCGTAGTAATGCATGTCTTTAATCCTAGCATTCAGAGGCAGAGGCAGGCGGATCTCTGTGAGTTCAAGCCCAGCCTGGTCTACATAGCAAGTTCCAGGCCAGCTGGGGCTACAGGGAGACCCTGTCTCAAAAAGACCAGTAAATAAGTAAATAACTCTGACAACCCAAAAATAAATAGGCAAATAATCCAGTTGCTGAATTGAGTAACATCTCTCCAAGGACAGCATTTAGATGATTAACAAGCACACAAAGTTACAATGCCACGTCCTCATGCCACTGGGATGCCTAGAACTGAAACAACAGAGCTGGGGCTGGAGGGATGCACTGTGGTTAAGAGCACTTCCGGCTCTTGCAGAGGACCTGAGTTCAGTTCTCAGGACCCACATTAGGTGCCTCACAACCACTTGTATCTCCAGCTCAGGGGGATCTGATACCGTCTTATGGCCTCCAAGGGCACTGTCTTAGTTTGTTCTTCATTGCTGTGACAAAACACTCTGACCACTACCAACTTGGGGAGGAAAGGGTTTATTCAGCTCACATCTCCCAGGTCACAGTTCATCAGGGAGCCCAAGGTAGGAACTCAGGGCAGGAACCTGAAGGCAGGAGCTGGAGCACAGGCCATGGAGGAACACTGCTTACTGGCTTGCTCCCCGGGCCCCTGCTCAGCCTGCTTTCTTATGCAACACAGGCCCACCTGCCCAGGGGTGGCACCACCCACAGTGGGCTGGGCCCCCCCATCACTCATCAAGAAGATGCCCCTTACACATGGCCACAGGCCAGTCCAATAGATGCAATTCCCCAATTGAGGCTCCCTCAACCCAGGTGTGTCAAGTTGACACTAAAGCTATCCAGCACAGGCACCCACACATGTGCACATACATACACACAGATACAAACATACACATAAATTTTTAAAATCTTTCAAAATGAGACCTTGTTGGTAGAATACGGAAAAATAGAGCCACAAGCCTTTGCTAAAAGGATGAGGGAACAGTATAATCATTTAGGAAAGATAGAGTAACGTCATTCCTAAATACAGGTCACTCTATGTGCATGTTAGTAAATCTTGTAAGGATTTAGTGAAGTAAAAGAAAGCATCAAGAGAAGTTATAAAATTAAATGTCAAGAGCTGGGTGTGGTGGTGCATGTCTTCAATTCCAGCACTTGGGAGGCAGAGGCAGGAGGATCTCTGTGAGCAGCCTGGTCTACATAGTGAGTTCCAGGCCAGCTGGGGCTACAGGGAGACCCTGTCTCAAAAAGACCGAAAAATAAAAATAAACAAAAATAGGCCAGGCATGGTGGCACACGCCTTTAATACCAGCACCCGGGAGGCAGAGGCAGGTGGATCTCTGTGAGTTCAAGGCCAGCCTTGTCTACATAGTTTCAGGACACCTGGGGCTACTGGGAGACCCTGTCTCAAAAAGACCAATAAATAAATAAATAAATAAATAAATAAATAAATAAATAAATAAGAAATATGAATGAGAATTAAGGACAAAATATTTAGCCCGTCCTGATTACAGCCTGTCACATGCCTGTAATCCCAGCCACTTGGGAGGCTGAGGCAGGAGGATTCCAAATCCAAGGATATAGATCAAGTTCAAAGCCAGCTTCAGAAACTTAATGAAACCTTGTCTCAAAAGTAAAAAGTCAACTGGAGATGTAGCTTGGTGATGTAGCTGGTCCTCCCTGTTATGAAACTGACAGTACTTGGTCACTGAGCATGTCATTAGTTCATTACGTATTTATTTCTGGCTGGAAGGTAGCTGAGTTGGTGGACTGCTTGCCCAGCATGAACAAGCCCTGAGTTGGATCCCAGTACTATTAACTGTAGAGTTGTGTCATACATAGCATTGTGTCACCCGTCTGTAATTCCAGCCCTCAGGAAGTGGAGACAGGGGATCAGAGGCTCAAGGTCATCTTTGTGAGTCTGAGGCTAGCCTGGGCTATAGGACAGTTATCCTTAAAGTTGTCACAATAGGGGCTGGAGGGATGGCTCAGCAGTTAAGAGCACTGGCTGCTCTTGCAGAAGACTCAGGTTCGGTTCCCAGCACCCACATGGCAGCTAACAACCGTCTGTAACTCTAGTTCCAGTGGATCCGATGCCACCATCTGTCCTCCACAGGACATGGGTACACTTACATACACGTAGGCAATACACACATACACATAAAATTTTTTTTGTGTTTTTGAGACAGTGTCTCCCTGTAGCCCCAGCTGTCCTAGAACTCACTATGTAGACCAGGCTGGACTCAAACTCACAAAGATCCGCCTGCCTCTGCCTCCCAAGTGCTGGGATTAAAGGCATGCACCACCACGCCTGGTTGGACATCATTTTTAATTAAAAATGTTTTATATTTATAAGCTAGGTGCAGTTGTGCACACCTTTAAATTCTGGCAGTCGGGAGGCAGAGGCAGAGGCAGATGGACCTCTCTGAGTTCAAGGCCAGCCTGGTCTACATAATGAGTTCAGGCCGGCTGGGGCTACAGGGAGACCCTGTCTCAAAAAGACCAAAAAATGTCTTACATTTATTTGGTGTGTGTGTGTCTGTCTGTCTGTGTGTGTATGTGTGTCTGTGTGTGTCTGTCTGTGTCTGTGTGTGTGTGTGTCTGTGTCTGTGTGTGCACAGCAGCACATAGAGGTTGGAGGACAACACTGTGGGTGTCAATTCTGTCCTTGTACCACGTGAGTCCTGGGGCTCCAACTCCGGCAGTTCATCGGGCTTGGGGGAAGTGCCTTTACTTGCTGAGCCATCTCAGCGGCCCCTCGTGTGGAAAATGCAATGTTTGTCAGCCTTTCTAGGTCAGTGCCTATAAAAAAGATACAATTATTGTTGAGCCGGCATCTGCATCCACATTGGGCTTGTTTCTTAAACTGATCGATGTGATTAATCACTCCCTAAGGGATAGACAACGCAAGAATTCTGGAACCAGGAACCGACAGCATTCGGTGCTGCGGTGTGACTGGGCATACACACCCACGTTGGCGACGTGTAGCACCCCGGAGACTATCTCTGACGTGCACCGCGGAGGGTCGATGTCCTGGGCACCGTTTCCTGTCCGCTCCTCACAACCACACGGATGTGCAACGCCGCCTTCCAAGATGCAGGCGACTGCGGAGCACCCGCTCCACCGGACCCTGGAGACCTCGTCGCGCCCCAGGCGCAGGAGCCGGTCCATTCTCCAGAAGGCCTTGGCGAAGGCCCTGTGCACGTCCTCGTGCGCCCGCCCGTGCGCTCCGGGCCGGCGGGCTCGGGAGAAGGCGTCCTCCAGGGCCTCGTAGTCCTCCCGGAACACCGTGCGGAAGGCCCGGACCAGCCGCCGCTGCTCGGCCGTCAGGCGGAAGGAGGCGTCGAGCGCCGACAGCTGGTGCAGCAGCAGCGTGGGCAGCTCCCGGGACACCAGGTCTGCAGCCGCGCGGCCGCGGTGGCCGTCGAACAGGCCGAGGAAGCACACGTCGGGCTTCTGGCCGAAGTCGCCGGCGACCGCGAACGTGTGGCTCGTGCCCGCTTTCCGGGTGGAGCGCGCGCTCCCGCACACGGCCGCGCCCTTCACCAGCGGGTGGCGGACGCCGGGGGAGAAGGGGGGCGTCGGGTCCCCGGTGCCGAAGACCCTGCGCCAGGCGGGGCCCTGCGTCCTCCGGAGCAGCTCGAAGGCGGCGTCGATGCTCCTCAGGGCGGGCTCGGTGCTCCGCCGGCCGGGCTCGGTGAGCGGGAAGGACGCCAGCAGCCGGGACACCGCGCGCTGCCGCTGCGCCAGCACCGCCGACGGCCGCGGCCTCTCGCGGCCCAGGCCCCGGAGGCCCAGGACGCCCAGCGCGCCGTGCTCCCTCTTGTGCAGGAAGCAGCCGGCCGGCTGCAGCTCCTCCCGGCACAGCGAGCACGGGAACGTGAGCACCTGCTGGCAGCCGGGCTCCTCCGCAGCCCCGGGGTGGCCGCGCGTCCTCGGCGCCCTGCGCGTCCCCTTCCCCCCACGCTTCCTTTCCGCTTCCCGCGTCAGGGCCTCGTCCGACTCCGAGGGCGGCTGGCCGAGGCTCCACTGCTCTGCTTTCCAGAAGGTCCTACAGGCAAGATGGAAGAGGTCACGGATAAGCGGGGCGCACGGTCTCCGCACAGGCCCCGGCCACTGCAGTGCGCCCTGTCGCCCCAGGGTGTCAGAATTTCATAGAGGCCCACAATTGAATATTCTGAGTCTGTGATTTTTTTTCACGACTCCGAGGGCGGCTGGCCGAGGCTCCACTGCTCTGCTTTCCAGAAGGTCCTACAGGCAAGATGGAAGAGGTCACGGATAAGCGGGGCGCACGGTCTCCGCACAGGCCCCGGCCACTGCAGTGCGCCCTGTCGCCCCAGAGTGTCAGAATTTCATAGAGGCCCACAGTTGAATATTCTGAGTCTGTGATTTTTTTTCGAAGTCCAAATAATAATAAAATAAGTCCTCGATAGATTGTTAATTGACCTATGTACGTCTAAAAGAAATTAGACTCTACAAATTCAACTAGATATCTGAACAGATACTCAAAAATATTTTACCCCACGAATGAAGGCACATGTTTTATAATTTTACATATTCTTTTTGTGTGTGAATGTAGTGCCTGCATGTATGTAAGTGCACCCGTGTTGTCCAGTGCCCACAGAGGTCAGAAGTGGCCATCAGATCCCCTGGAACTGGAGTTAGGACCATTGTTAGGTGCCGTGTGGGTGCTGGGAATCAAACCTGGGTCCTCTGGAAGAGCAGCTAATGCTGTTAGCTGCTGAGCCATCTCTCCAGCCCCTGATCTTTAATTTTTAAAAAAGATTTATTTATTTTTGTTAGGACATGGTGGTGGACACCTTTTATCCCAGCACTGGGTGGGGACAAAGGCAGGCAAATCTGTCAGGTCAGTGCCATCCTGGTCTACATAGTAAGTTCCAGGCCAGTTGGGGCTACAGGGAGACTCTGTCTCAAAAAGACCCCCCCCCAAAAGATGTCTTTATGTGTATATGTGCACACGCAGGCCGGGAGGAGAGGTTGGGTGCCCACCCTTCTATCCTGCTGCCTATTCCTTTTCCTTGAGGCAGGGTCTCTCCCTGAGCCTGGAGACACAGAGATGACTGGGGCTTGCTGGGTGCCAGCCTAGCCAGAAAGCAATGAGCTCCAGGTTTAGTGAGAGACCCTGCCTCAGCAGAAAGAGGTCAAAAATGAGGGAGGGACACCTAATGCCCTCCCCCTCCTGCTGTGCATGCAGACACACACACACACACATACATGTGCATGTACTGCAGACACATATATGCACTTGTTGGGAGCTGTTAGTCTATTATGTACATTGAGCTGTGGCAGGCTTGTTTACTGAGTTTGTGTTATGCACACCAGTACCTAATCTGCCTAATCAAGAGGAATGTGTTTATGTGGAGAGCCTCACAATACCTGACCTGGAGGCAACAGTGGTAAACAAAAAGATCAAAGAAGCCTTTGAAGTATTTGACCGCTCCTTGACCCTCAGATACAGGTGGGGAAAACAGCTGTTGATATCCTCCCAAGTATCTTTTCTGTCTCTTGTTCTTTCTTTCAATCCTCACTCCCCCTTTCAGGTACTGTCCGTCTTGGCCGGCTGGCACCGGCAAGACATGGTGGCACACACCTTTGATCCCAGCATTCCAGAGGCAGAGGCAGGCAGATCTAGAGGCAGGGAGACTCTACCTCAAAAAAACAAAATACAAAAAGATGGGTGGGGGTATTGGAGAGATGGTCAGGGGTTAAGAGCACTCACTGTACACTCAAGCACACAGCAGTTGGGATCCCAGAACCCACTAAACAAACCGGGTGTTCCATGCATGCTTGTAACCTCAGCTCCAAGTTAGGTGGAGGCAGAAAGATCAACAGGGCTTGACGGCTTCCAGCCTAGCCTAGAAGGCCCAGCGCCAAGTTCAGGCAGAGACCATCTCAAAAGCAATAGAGAATGGTAGAGGAGGATACCTGATGTTCTCCACAGGAGCACAAACACAATAGATGATAGAGAGATGATATAGATAGATAGATAGATAGATAGATAGATGATAGATAGATAGATAGATGATAGATAGATGATGATAGATATATAGATTGATAGATGATAGATATATAGATTGATAGATAGGTAGATGATAGATTAATATAGATAGATGATAGATATAGAGATTGCTAGATAGGTAGATAGGTAGATGATAGATTAATATAGATAGATAGATGATAGAGGAGAGATAGCTCAGCAGTTAAGAACACTGACTGTTCTTGCAGAAGACCTGGGTTTGAATCCTAGCACCCACATGGCAGCTACCAACTTTCCGTAACTCCAGTTCCAGGGGATCCGACAGTCTTGTCTGTCCTCCATTGCACGACACGGTGCACTTACCTACGTGCAGGCATAACACTCATACACATAAAATAAAAATGATAAAATATTTTTTAAAAAAGTATCAGCCAGGTGTGGTGGCCCACAACTTTAATCCCAGCACTTGGGAGGAAGAGACAGGTGGATCTCTGTGAGTTCAATGCCAGCCTGGTCTACACAGTGTGTTCTAGGACAGCTGGGGCTACAGGGAGACCCTGTCTCAAAAAGTTCAAAAAAAAAGAAGAAAGAAATCAAAGTAAATAAACAAATACCTTGAAGCACCATTGGGCTCCGTGTTCCTTTGGGTATGGTAACTTTCTCTGTCCTCAGTTCATTTGCAGAGCATTTGTTCCTTCACCATGAGGACAGGTGAAGGCAGAGGAAAAGGAGGAGGAGGGGGGAGGGGGAGGAGGAGAGGGAGGACGAGAAGAACAGGAGGGGGAGGAGAGGGAGGATGAGAAGAACGAGGAGGGAGGGGTGACTGTGGCAGGTGGTGGTGGAGGAGGTTGGGGCTTCCCCTGACTGAAGGAGGCTCCTCTGTGGAATGTTGAGTACCTCACCTGGAGTGTCAGCCACGGCAACCTTTGTGCTTTGGAAGGTCTTGAAACAGAAGGTCACCAAGTGTATTAGCAAATTTCTCTGTAGAATTTCTAAAAGCCACGCTTGGAGGCTGTAGAGATGGCTCAGTGCACGCTGCTCTTGCAGAGGACCTGAGTTTATTTCCCATTGAATATGTGGGGCAGCTCACGGCTGCCTATGACTGCAGCTCTGGGGGTGTGACATCCTCATCTGGCCTCACTGTGGCTGACCTCTCATTTCTTTCTTTTTTTCCTCTGTTCCCTTTTGTTTGTTTATTTACTAGCGTGTGCAGGTGTTGTTACGTATAAGAGGAGTTCACAGGACAATTTGAGATTCTCGGCTTTAGACATGCCTGGACATGCCCTGGCATGCCCTGACCCCCACCTGCTATTCCCCCCCTGTAGGACCCCCAGATTGGGGTACCCTACGTTCTCGGGAGGTTGCACCCCAATAACTCAGTCCTCAAATCAGGAGATGCAACAAGCATGAGGATTTATTGGCGTTTTGCAAAACGGACTCCCACCTCACTCGGAGGACAGAAGTCCAGAGCCCAGTTCACAGGTTTCTTTTAAAGACAAGCGGCGGCTTATGTGCCAAGCAGAAAAGCGGTGGCTATGTGCCAAGCAGAGGTAGGGGGAATTTCTGGGATGATTTCCAGCTTGGGCAGAGGAGCATGAAAAAGGTCAGCTCAGCTTGTTCTTAGCATTCAGAATTGTTTTTTTATTTTTACTTCCTTGTACAGTTTTTCTCAGGCCTGGGGGATTTTAGTTTAAATCCATTATTCTGGGGGCTTTGGATCCATCAATATTGAGACAGGGTCTCTCTGTGACCCCAGCTGGCCTGGAACTAGCTATGTAGGTCAGCCTGGCCTCGATCTCATACAGATCCACCTACCTCTGCCTCCAGATTGCTGGGATTAAAGGCATGTGCCACCATGCCAGCCTGTTATTTATTTTATTGGTGAATAAGGTACATTATTTATTAAGTACAACTATTTATTAATAGTTAATGGAACCTCCTTTTTCACATTTATTTGTTTGGTCATTTGTTTGGAGTATATGGACACACACACAAGTGTGCCACAGCAAGCATGTGGAAGAGAGGACAACTTGCAGAAGTCAGTTCTTTCCTTCTGAAATATGGGTCCTAAGGATTCAACTCATCATCAGGCTCCACATCAGGCTACCTGCCAGGTCATCTTGCCTCATAGAACTTCTTTTTTTTTTTTTTTGTCTTTTTGAGACAAGGTCTCCCTGTAGCCCCAGCTGTCCTGGAACTCACTATGTAGACCAGGTTGGCCTTGAACTCACAGAGATCCGCCTGCCTCTACCTCCCAAGTGCTGGGATTAAAGGCGTGCACTACCACGCCTGGCAGAACTTCCTTTTAAAAACTATCTTACAGGGGCTGGAGATAGCTCAGTGGTTAAGAGCACTGACCACTCTTGCAGAGGGCCTGGGTTTGATTCCCAGCACCCACATGGTGACTAACAGCCATTCCCCAGTTCCAGGGAATCCAACGTTCTCCTCTGATTTCCTCAGTCATTGTATGACACGAGTGCACTTATACCCATGTAGGCAATGCACCCATACATAAATATAAATAAAATATTATTTAAGAGAGAGAGAGGAGGGAGAGAGAGAGAGAGAGAGAGAGACTGGTGTCATGACACATGCTTTTAATCCCAGCACTTGGGAGGCAGAGGCAGGTGGATCACTGTGAGTTTAAGGCCAGCCTGGTCTACCTAGTGAGGTCCAGGACAGCTGGGGCTACAAAATAAAGTAAATAAATAGTTTTAAAAATCAGAAATATAATATCTGTAATGGGAAGTTCACATATCGAGACTTATATGTGTTTTATTATATTTATATATTTTCTTTTTTTTTTGTCTTTTTGAGACAGGGTCTCTCAGTAGCCCCAGCTGTCCTAGAACTCACTAAGTAGACCAGGCTGGCCTTCAACTCATAGAGATCTGCCTGCCTCTGCCTCCCGGGTGCTGGAGTTAAAGGCGTGCATCATCATGGCCTATATTTATGTATCTCTTATGGTAGCACAAACATACACATTCATGTACATATAGTCTGTAACTGCAACACAGACCATAGATCCACAGAGCTTATAGGTTTCATTATAT